TTACCAACTGAGCAGGTTGGAACATGAGTTACGTATTCCCAACCACCACCTACATTGACGGACGATGTTGTGTGATGTGGGAGTTGGCTTGAAGAAAGCTAGGAGCGGCCAAACAGAAACATGGCATTGGTCTATGAAGTCAATTACCCATGTTAATGGGTACAGATTACCTGGTTGGGGCCGATGTGATTATCGCAACAAATGGTCAAAGACTTCGAATGACATGGCTGAAAATCGTTTGCGATGGCGCAGATACAACTATTCTGTTTTTCTCTAAATTCTGAGTTTCAAAATTCATCATGAAAAGTTTTGTGCTTTTATTTCACTTATTTAAGTTTTCTTCTCGAATCGTATTTCCGGTGCCTAAACTTTTCTGTTATTATTTCTACTCTTCCAGGATTCAGCCCAACAACTTTATATCTCTGTGTTCATTGTGTATGGAAACTTGAACCGATGTACGTTTGTACAGGTTTTCACTTTTGACTGGCTGAGATAGATATCATAAAACAACGGCGAAAGAAACAGATTTAATTTTTGATCAAATTGTTTTGCTTAATCCTAAATGTGGATAATATGTTTAACTCACTGCAATTATTATTATCAGCTTGTATAGTTGAAGAAAGTTGATCAACTGTCGTGATCTGATAGTTCATCTAATATAAAATACTAGCCTTAGTGGACAACTTGTTTGTAAATATGAAGTATACTTTTCATAGAGTAATCTGATTAAATAGGAAGGATATTATCAAAGAGTTTACATCAAACAACTAAAACTATTCTAGCTAGAATTACAATAAACATTTACTTATCTCAAAGTTATTGACAAAATAGAATAGAAAGTTTAATGCAAAATTGACAAATCAACAAGCTTGAATTGAGAATGAAGATATGATTTGCTTTAACTTTATCCTTCACTTATTGTTACTTGAGAAGAAAAAGATCTGAATTTCAAATTATAATTTGAACAAGATATCAAGAAAGAAGATGATTAAAAGTTTGATGTTCAATTAAAGAAGTCTTCAGCTTAAATTATGTTGATTGACAGTTAAATACTGTGTAAATGTGCCATTTAGTGGATATATATTTGTGTAGATGGAAATATATTAAAATGACTGTGATATTTAAAAACCCTTAAAACTTAATTTCACGTTTCAATGCCTATTTTTCAGCTTGAATTTCAACTAAAGATGTGATATTAAACTAGCAGATAAAGATTTTTTTCTCTTTTATATAATAAGATTTGAAACTCAGTATGAAATTTAAATTCTCCCTCCTTTTTTTATCTGCTATAACGAATCAACCATAGAAACTGTATTCATCAAATGAAGTTTTCAACTTGTTATCATAATATATATATAGTATCGTTCTCCTTTTGAAATTGAGGGTTTCTCAGTTCTTTTCAATATAAGATAACTATCATATGCTGTTCAATAATCTTAAATTTATTTTACATTATACAAATTCACATAGAAATGTGTAAGTAGATGGAGTTAATGCGATTGAAGTGAAAATAAATGCCATTTATCTTCACAAAGATAGTGAAGAGTATTTTAGGTATGGCGCTGAATACCTACCTAATCTTCAATATTGAATTACTTCTGAATACAAAAGTAATATTCAACTTGAATTTGTTCTATAAACTTCTTGTGATTTAAAAGAACATTACACTAATTATCACATTGACTTCAGCTATTTTAGACGTGAATGTGTTACTCGCCAATGATAGTAGATAATGGCTATTCCATATCGTTAATTAAATTAATCTAGAAATGCTACTAATCGGATCCCAGTTCACTGATATAAACTTAAATTGTTTACCCCAAGAACTTAAGGTATTGAGTTCCATCATTATTGAGGTCGTTGATGTGGCCAGGTTGAGTTCCATACTAGAATCAAGCAGATGCCTGTTACCTCTAGGTTTTCAATGGTTGTGCAATTAAAATTATTTCCTAATCTAAACTAGGAAATTTAACGATCTCGATAACCTTCTCTTGTGATTACATTATTGTTGGTTACGAGTAGTACAATAAGAGATGCGTTTATGGTACATTTTCAAACATAAATTACTTGATAAACCATAGGAAGTAAGTATGTTTCCGTAATAAATTACTTCATAACAGTTATATCTAACCCATAAATTGTAAAAATGAGTAAACAATATGAACATTTTCATGTCAGAAAATAGTAAGAAAATAAGTCAAGCAATTAATGTAACTTCTAACTGTGTATACTTCAATTTTAACAAGAAAACTAATGTTTCTTCATACAATCAATGGAAAAGGTAGGTTTTAGTCTTTTATTTATTTCAACTTAATTAAAACTGTCATTTCTTAACAAACATTTTGCCAAAACTGAAATTTTAACATTTCAGTACTAAAAATATCAAGATTGTTTAACCAAAATTCAAACAATTAACGGTTGTACACTACAAAAAACTATACCAGTCATTGTTGTTGTTTTGATCTTGTATTTATTATTGTTGAATGATGTATTTTCAATCTTCAATTGCTATTAATGAATTTATCATTTTAAATATAAGTTCAATTGCTCATATCGATCACAAAAGTGACATAACTCAAAAAGGAAAGTTTTTAGATAACTTGTTATGTGTGCTGTTATCGATGGTCATATACGTAATATGTATCTTATGTCAACTTTGCCTGTACATAATTACTTAATTACGCCTGTTACTCCTCATGGAAGAGCATAGGTCGCCCACAAGCATTTTCCACTGAACCCTGTCTTTGGCGATCCCTTCCAGTTGTTCCCAGCTGATATTCATTTTGCAACCCGCGGAGATTGTACATAACACTATATAAATAATTTATCAAATCAAATAACTTATACACCTAAGTGAATAAACATTTGGCATATTTATTAGTAAACTGTCTTTAAAATAATAACTAGTTTGGATCTTTTTGAATATATTCAACAGGCTATAATAAATATTAACACTTTTATAACCAATATTTCATTTAATAGTTAAATCTATGAGTCAATTGAAGCTAGACCATCGTGAAAAACGTGGAAGCAATGAAAGGCTGTTTTGTCATAGTACGGGACTCTTCAGTAGATTGGATTGGTCGAAGTTAGACATCAACACCGTTGGATGCCGGCTAGTTCAGTGGTCTAAAGGATAAGAACTCGCGCGCGGGACTCGTAGATCCTGGGTTCCAATCTCGAGAAGTATGACTGTAGGTGCTCACTGTTGAGTCCCACAATAGGACGAAACGACTATCCAGTGCTTCCAGGTTTTCCATAGTAGTCTAGCTTCAATTGTCTCATGAATTAAATTATTTAATTACTATAAATATCTACAAAATTCTTCTTCTCTGATTACAATATTTATTTGTTTGTTTAGCTATCTCTAGTTCTGTTGAATTAAATTTCGCTTTGACTAAAACTCATAAAACTTAATACAAGTAGATATTATTATCGGAGACATGGATATGAAAAGGAAAAAAAGGCAGATAATAATGAGGGAAAAAGTCATCAGTAATTATTAAACTGGTATTTAGCAAATATTTACAATTATTTCCGGAAATTATAATTGTTTGTCTTTGTTTTTTTGAATTATGTAAGTATGAAAAATCTGTTTATTAGTTTTCAGTAATCATAGTTTTACCGCCTATTAAGAGAGACATATGAGATTATACTACTCTATACATTAAATTGTTAGTTAAACAAATGATAATCAATGTCATATTGTCTAGACTAAATACAACCAGATAAAAGTACAATGAATATACTCAGTCTAATCTAGAGAGCACTAAACATGAATGGTCAAAAATATATTGATGTTTAATTTGATTCTTCTTTATGCAGAGGTGAATTGAAAATTAGTGGACTTTCTTGATGTTTCAAAGAAACAGATTCTATTTTGAGAATATTTACAGAATAAATGCCTACTTATAGGTATGATCAAGTTGATACAGATGGCAATGTCACGTGTAAAGGAGAGATATATGATTTTAAATTATTTGAATGAATTTGGTTCAAAACATGTTTTAAGACAACATTTGTCACATGGATTACGACAATTAGAAATCTGAATTGGAAACCGTTAGCTCTGTCCAGAGACATCAGAATATTCTTTCCTATGTTAAGTGAGTATTGATATACAACGTCAAGTATGCATGTCGTTACCACTTATGATGAGCAACTAATTATTTAACTCCTGACCATTTACGCTAAAACAGTAAGTAGACTCTATAAACTGATAGGATTTCCTACGCCTTTATACTCATTATTTACACACATAGTATCAATTTTCCTCATTGACGACGAAAACGTAAGAAATAAAATATTAACATTCTGTTTTACAGGTTTCATGATCATTGTGAAATCTGAGGTTTGGCCTGTATACACTGATGGGAAGTTCTAACTAAACGCTTCACCAGTCACTGATTCTAATGATTTCATAGGTGATATGAATGATTGATAAAATATACATTTTAATAAGACAATAGTTTCTGAACATTTTAATCAATGCAACGTGTTATGTGCGGTGTTTTGTCACATTTAGAACTCATCATTGACTTTAGAAAATTATCAATATAATAATTACTAACTGTGATGATCTGCTTACGGTTACTGTAAAATTACATTTGGCTTGTAATATAATTAATTATTCAAAAAGTTTAATAAAACTCTTTTGAACTACCCTGAAAATAAAACATTTCACCAACAGTAAACATCTTGCAATAAAATCGTATTTGTTTAAATGAAACACTGTACTGCATATTTAAACTGCTTTATCGTGAACGAAGAAATGAATGGGTTTCAACCATGTAGAAGTATTTACATAAATTAGTCTGTAACTTGTCCTTCATGTTTGGAATAGTGATGATAAGGTTAATTTGGTTAAAAGAAGATAAATTGCTTAATCAACGAATATGTGATACAGTAGTTGGACTTCTACAGGAAGTTACTATCTCCTTCAGTAATTTACTTTATGTTTACATACTCATGCATTTGTTTGTTTTACTAATCTTTTCTAGGTAATCAGCTGTAATCGGCAAGTATGCACATTACAAATTACTGATACTACTGGTAGTCATCAATTTCCAGCTATGCAACGATTGAGTATTAATAAAGCACATGCATTTATCCTTGTATATTCCATAACTAACAAAGCTTCATTTGATGAATTACAACCATTGTATACTGAATTAGCATTAATTAAAATGGATGAATTACCAAAAATACCAATTATGCTTGTTGGTAATAAAATCGATGAAAATGATAATCGAGAAGTTAGTCCAGCACATGGTAAAGCATTAGCACAAAAATGGAAATGTGGTTTTATGGAAACATCAGCTAAATCAAATTTAAATGTGAAAGAAGTTTTTCAAGAATTATTAAAAATGGAAACACGACGTAATATGACATTAGTAGGTGAAATAAAATCACATTCACGTTTTGTATCATTTTTTAAACGTCGTTCAAATGATACACATACTAATAATACAATTGGTGTTGTAAACACTGGTATTAATAATACTAATGGTACAAATTTTAATAATTCTACATCAATTATTGATGCATTAGATATGCCTAGACAAATAAATACAATACAAGAACAATCTATTGCTAGTACATCAAAAGATACTAAAACTTCATCAAAATTAAAACGATTTTTAAGCATTAAAACTTATTCTGAATCAATGAGAACAATGAAAAAAGATAAGAATGATGATATTGCATAAACTTCATTATTTGTATCTAATCATAATGATGCCTATTCTGTAAAAAATAATTATTTTCTACGCTTAAAGTTATAGATTACTTATTCATTTATAAAAGTAAAACTACTTTGAAAGAAAATTTGTTCCGTTTTTTTAGATTTGGTTAAATAAAATGATTATTTAATATATTCAAATTATATATGATGGTCGGTATTCAATAGAATCCTTAAACTTCGTATACAATTCGTCTTAATAGCCATCACTAGATAACGCCTCAACGGTATATTAATCAGAAGGCGAATACGAAGTGTTGATTACGTTTATTATGGGACCATAGGCAGATATGCAAAATTATAGGTATGTTAAGCAAACATGAAAGAGTAGTGTCAAAAAGCAATCAGGCAAGAGAGCGAGTCAGTGAGTCGGCGCATACGAGTACGAGTAAGCGAGTACAAATAAGTGAGTGCAATGAACATAAATAAACTGGACATATATATACATAGTGAAATTAATGAATCATCGCATCAATTGAGCGACTAATAGTAAGGCTAGCAGAGTGAATATATGCGTAGGCAGTAAATAATGCTCAAGCATACATAATATTCTAAATGTTACTGTGTTGTGTGTTACTTATATTGACATAAGTAATATATGATTTCACTAGTGAAGAGAAGGTCTAGCAGCAGAGAGACAAGAGGATCAAACAGTAAAGAATGGAAACAAAATGCAATTTGTATGAAAATGCAAGAACAATGAAGCTTGAGTCATTTTGAGACCATTGATGGACATTATGCATATTAAGCATTTACTTTATGATTGTTAGATTTTATTGACAAGTCCTGTAATTTTCTGTTAAATACATTCGATTGTCTCCCCTCGTGTTCGTGTTCACTATACAATCATATTATAAATTTTTATTAGTTTCCATTTCGTTATAAATAATGACGCCTAATTTGTTTAGTTTTTTTATATAAAACAATATTATTTGTATTTAAATTAAAGATCATAGAAATTAATAGAGATATGATAAAATTGTTGGAAACAAAATAAGGTTTCCATTGAAATTATGGAATAATGAGTTTTTTTATTTTAATTTTATAATAATCAATTCCATTATAGTTTTTTTTCTTTTCGGAAATATTGATTACAACTAACCCTATTCTTCCTAATAAAAAATATTGGGAATTTAGATATAGACATAGAGGGTAAGGGGGGAGTGTAATAAATTTATTACCTGGGTTCAAGACCCTATTTTAGATGAAATAAAATTTTTTAAACAGATATAAACGTCCATAACAACTGATAACCTAAATAAGATAACTTACATCATATTATTGATTGAAAAAAATTGAAAAGTTTACCAAATATTGTTTAACTTAGGAACTTGAATTGTTATACAAAAAGTAATTTCTGAAATAATATATATTATTCGTTCGTATAATTAATAATAGACCCTTTATAGTTCTATCATATTAATAATTTGTAACATCTGGTGAAGTGTTAACTCAGAACGTATAGTTGGGTATAATCTTAATTGTAACTAACAGTACAATCCAAGATTTGAGTCACTTCTTGATAAGTTTATCGACTGATTTTAATACGTTTTGAATCTTGTGCTTTATCTGATATGTGCGATCAATATACATTGGGTTATCTCAAGAATCTTATTTGCACCTGAGATTGTTACTCTTAAATATCTATCAATTTCGTTTGTTTGCTTTTAAGATCGTATTGATCAAATTCTATCATGATCACAGCGCAAAATGACTCAAAACCTAATGTCGCTTAGAAAACAAACACAAGATTTTTGCTGCAAAATATATCTTACAGATTTAAACTTGGTTATCAACAACGGGATAAGTTGAATATTTAGAATAAACAAATCGATCACCACTATCTAAGAAATGCGGAATATCCCCAACATTTTATTAAAATATAAAGAGAAATTGTAAGTGGATATAAAAAATTCTATCATTTGTTGATTGCTTTTTAGATGATTCCAATTTTTAGTTTAATATTTAATCAAAATACATTAGAAAATGGGGGATTTATACGCAACGTTTCCATGTAAACCTAATGTATCGCCCAGTGTAATAACTTTCATGTCTACGTTCATGTAACCATGGGATTTGTCATTTTATAATGTATTTTTTTATTAAATGACTAGATTATGCTGTGAATTTTGCTCCAGTTGTAATTTTTATCCGCCACGTTTGACTGCGTTACACTGTACATTCATTGCATGCTGGAATGATATCCCAAGACCTTGTCAGTTTAATCACATCGTTAATTTTCTTCACATAAATCGTCAGTAAATAATGTTACTGAAGAAAGGTTTGTTGTGCAGTAAACTATGTTTTACGAGCAATTGACTGTTGTCTTCAGTTTCAAAACAATATCATTTGTCTTCTGTTAGGTTAGTTTGACTGGCTTATAGTTCGTGTTTTGGGTTTATCGGCCGAATTATGTACATTTAACTACTTTGAGTAATATGTCTGTGCAAATGAAACAATAATTATGGCACTTGCTTAGTTTAGTATTCTTGGTTGTCGTAAAATTCAGTTTGGACGATAGAATTATAGTACACTTAGGTATAGTATTTGGAGCCTGTAACGAAACAGATCAGTTGATTAAGTAGAGCTGACTTTTTTTAAATGAGTATACTGATTCAAATCAGTCTGCTTGGAAATGTGAAAAGAGTTGCCTTTGATGCTGTTGTTTTCATACATGATAAGATAGCGATAAGTATGTTTGGTGTTTATTTGTAGACTGTACATCTAGAACTGACCATATTTCAAGATCACTGTCATCAAACACTTCCGCCAGCGTTAACATTATTAGCAGGATAGCTAAATGTATGTGATTTCGGTTGCCTGCAAAACAGCAGTATATTTTAGAAGCCTGTAGTTCTCGAATCCATTTCAGATTGTATGGAAGATGGCTGGGAAGCCAACTCCAATTCAAGCCGAACATTACTCAATATTTATAGACAGACAAAATGAACTACAGACATGTGATGAGTCATGGGACATGAAGTGTACACACATGTACGCTCATGTGAAAACAGTCAAGGCTAATAAGCGAATAATTAACAAGGTCAAACATGACTCAAGTAGAATGAATAGAATGGTATGTCCGAAAACTAGAATAAAATATATTATGAGCTAAAACTATTCTGTGTCTTAATTAAATGCCGCTGGTTATATAAAAATGTTAAAAATCTTTTTTCAATAGTTGAAACCATGGGTCAATTGAAGCTAGACCACCATGGAAAACCTGGAAGCACTGGACGGCCGTTTTGTCTTACTATGGGACTACTCGGCAATGCGCATTCACTATCGCGCCCCCAGCGAGATTCGAACCCAGGATACGCATTGCTGAGAAATCCAATACTAAGGTGAAACGGCCGTTCAGTGATTCCAGGATTTTCTTAGTAGTGTAGCTTTAAGTGACTCATGAGTTCAATTATTAAACTATATGTATGTATATTTTGAAGTATAGTACTTAAGTGGAAGAAAAACATCTTGAATTAAGAATATATATATATGTAATATCTTGTAAATCCTCACAATATTCATTTATGAAAGGACATACCTAAATAAATTGAATTTGTTAGTACACCTATAAACAATATAAAATTTCTTATTTTACAGTTCAAAATTCAATATAAATTCAATTCATTGCATAAACATTAATATACTTAGCATTATATAACATTTTAGTATATTAACATAAATAATTCAAGTATCATTATATCATTATCAATGAATCAACAAGTCAAAATAATATTGAATATTTCTGTTAAAAAAAACGTTTACTGTTTACCTGTTAATAGATAACATAATGTTGTTTAGTAAGGTATTCAATTTAGGTCATAAGGTAAAATTTCACGTTTGACTAATCTAAAGAAATATAGAAAAATCTAGAATGTTTCATAGAAATATCTGTCAGAAATACAAAAACAAAACAACAAATAAACGATATTCTTTTCTAAAATATTTAAACAAATAGAATATTCTTTATTGACATTAAGATAAATCAGTTACCGAAGTAACGTTTTAATAAACAATATAGAATAATATTATAATTTATTTTTATTCTTTTGTCACGTAATAACACAAGTAATATGACACTAACAATGATTATTTAATATAAATACAGATATTGCTCATTCTTTTTATACATTTTAGTTATGAATATTGCATAAAAATGTGATTGTGAATTTTAAAACGGTTTCATATTTCATTTTCTATTTTCTATGAACTGATTATTTAACTCAGATAACCTAACTACTCTACAATACTATATATATATATATGTCGCACAGGCGATTGGCGATCAGGACTCAGTAAATAAGTGGATAATGCCGTGGCGTTTCAAGTGATGAACGGTACTGAGTTCGAGTCACAGAGTGAACATCAAATCTCAGATGTAGGCACATCCAACTGACGAGTCCCAGATAGGATGAAATGCGTGTCTTGGATTCCACTGCCATCCACTATCCATCTTGGCTTAGAATGCTTGTGATTTAAGACGATATCAAGACAATTCGTAGAGTATGCATATATGCCAATAAGAGACTGATCAATTGTAGTTCTAAATAGCAGTGGGAAGATACAAGTAAACAATATCGTATGAATTTAGTGTGAATTCTTGTTTACAACAGATACATTTTCATTTTAAGATGTATTTAAATTTAATTAGATTTTGATGTTTTGAAAAACACCGAATGAATTACTTAAGTAACTTAAATGATTCAATTGATAAATTGTTAGTGCATTCAGTGTTAAAGTCTCATTTCAATGAAGTATCTAAAAAAAACCACTTTTAGTGGCCCAAAATCTGACTCTAATTAGATCGTATAAATGATTGTTATTAAATAATTACTGTCGAAATATGTATATCGTCAATCCTCGTATAAAGTTATCGACTTGAATCGCGTTGGTAAATAACGGAATAAAATAAGCCAAATACGAGAATGAATTTCGAATACTTATATTTCATATAATTGTTGATCCAGA